GATATCTGATGACAGAACTAGGAAAAGCGCCTGAGATCCTTGCTCCATGTCCTGTGTGAGAAGCCAGAGGGAGAGGAATAAACCCACAGTAGGGTCTTTCCTGACTAGATGAAATTCTCTTCAGGACTAGTATACTCACTGACCAAGGAGATGCAGGGGCGTGGGTCCATTTGATTTGGACTGTGCAGGCCGAGAACTCAGCCCTTTCTGGGAGGGGTGTGCGAAAGTGTACCCATGGGATCATATATCCTAGCAAGGCCCAAGTAGAGGCAGGCCAAGAACTCAGCCCTTTCTCAGAGGGGTGTGCTAAAATGTACCCATGGGATCATATATCCTAGCAGGGCCCAAGTAGAGTTCAGAGCATAGTGCCATGAAGGAACCAGTGTTTGTAGAATCAGAGGTGCATTTAGGAAACCTTCAGGGAGACAGAGCTATGTGTCTGGGATCTCAGCTTCTAGCACAATACAAGGACACAGAAGGTGAAAAAAAGACTCAGTTTTAGAAGAGATGAATCAATTCTGTCATCACTGCTGGATCTGCTGAGTCTGTACATCCCACATCAAGTGGGTATTTTCTGGGTAATTCTGTTGTTGTCTGTGAGGGGCTGATTGAGCTGGGAAGGCTTCACGGAGGTGGCAGGGAGGATGGAGATTGCATGATGTTTTAGGCAGTGCTGATAGACTCTAGAAGCACTTGGGAGATGGGCCCATAACCATGCCTGTGTGGTATTATCTTAATTACATTAATTCATGTGGGAAGAATCATCTTAACTGTAAGCATCAGTTTGTGCCTCCAGATTCTTGCCTTTTTTTCCTGCCCTGACTTCCCTGGATGGTGAAGTAGAAGCTATAAGATGAAAATAACTATTCCTCCACACTTTGCTTTTGGTCACAGTGTTGTGTCACCACAATAAAAATCCAAACTAAGACATCAGATTTCCTACACGTTTGTTGGCTTTAGCTGTTCTCTGTAACAATGGTTCAAGACTCCATAATCCCTCAATCTCCCATATTCCATGTGTGAACAACAGTGGTGCATGTGTGACTCTGCCACATTTTGCTGCTACCTCAGAATAGAGTCATCTCCTTGGATCAGTTACATCCTGCATTACTTTTCACTTGCTGCAATAAAGAACATGACCAAAAGCAACTTTAGGAAGAAAGGGTTTATTTTGGCAAACAGTTCCAGGAGGATCAAGTCTGTCAACTTATAAAAGGCATGGCATGGTGCCAAAGTAGTAAACTGGTTGATCACATATTCATCCATAAACAGGAAGCAGAGGGGAAGAACAGGAATGGAGTGAGGCTATAAACCTTCAATACCAGTGGCATATTGTTTCTACCTCCTAAAAGTTCCATAACCTCCCCCTGTCAGAAGCCATGTAGGAAATGCTATGGCATGCAAATGAGTTTCCTGGAGATGGCCCGCTGTTTTACGTGGCTATGATGGGTGCACTCTGAAGAGTCACAGCCCCTGATACTTTGTCCCAGGATTGCTTCTCAGTGCTGATATGCATTTCCTGCCACTATGACATAGCTTAATGATTCCTGGGCATCATCTCACCCTACTGGGCAAATTTCCTGCAGATCAAGATGAACTCTCATGTAGTGATGCTGTAAAGATGAATTGATGATTTCATAATTCCTGATAGTGATTTTGTAGAATTCCTAAATTAATACAAGTAATCTCAAGCTCTCTATAGAATAAAAGCTGTAAAAAGAGCTCTGTAAACTTTCAGGTGTCAAGGGCTAATTCCACGAGAAAAGGAAAGCAGGCTTGGAACAAATTTACGATCAAGGAAAACATTCCTTCTAGGTTAGGAATGAAGCCACTGTCTGGTAACTAAAGGTCATAAACTAGGAATGGGCAATTTATTGTAGGTGCAAGGACAGAAAGTAAATGATGGAGTACTCTACTTATACAAGATTTCAAAATAACAAGGCACGAGGCAGATGATTTGTCTCTTGACAAAACCATGCTAACCTATGACGTAAAATGATTGCTTTAAACTTATAATGAAGATATGGGGCTAGCGAACAAATAATGAATGCATCAGCTTCTGGCCCCTGAATATCTAGAGAGATTTAAATTGCCAGAAGTCACTAGCTTCTGGCCCCCAGAACATAAGAGGGAGTTAATGGTTCACCTATCTGCGCCCCACCTCAGTACCTGATGGCCGTGGGCCAGACCCTGGCACTCCCCCAGTGTCAATAGCTAAGGAATCAAGTGTTCGAGTACATGAACCATCACATTCTGCCCCTGCATCTCATATGTTCATGGCTGTCTCATGAGGCAAAGCACACTTGCAATTAGTACAACTTCAAAAGGCCCAATAGTCTTTAATGCTCTTAATAGTGTTCAAAAGTCCAAATTCCACTGTCTCTTTGAGACTCAAGGTGGTCTTTTAATTTTAACACTCTGTAAAATCAAAAATAAGCTACACACTTCCAACAAACACTGACATGGAGCATACCAAAAAAGGGGACTGAGGTTATCATGAGCAAAGACTGAACCAAAGCAAGACCAAAACACAGCAAGATAAACACACCAATTCCTGTAGCCCTAAGCCTGGTTCTGGAGCTTCAGCTTCAAGGGCCTTAGATGACTCTGACCCTTCAGCTTTTGCTGTCCATAAAACACATCTCCCCCCGCCCCTCTCTCTGGCTTGCTGTACTCCCTGTATGCAGCTAACCTTGATAACTAAGCATTCAAACAAATAAGCCTATGGGGACATTCTTATTCAAACCGCCACAGTGTCCATAGAAGCAAGCCCTGTAAACCTGCTTCAGGATTCCTAGGAATGAATGTTGTAAAAGTGGATGTGTGGGGAGTGGAGGCGGGGGGGTGGGGAGATGCAAGGTGGGAGCTTTCAGTCCTAGCCTCTCCGGATCACGACTGCAGGCAAAGAAGAATCCAGGGCACAATGCTCAAAGTAACTTTTATTGTGAAAATAAGCACGCATTTCTCAAGAGAAATACACAGAGCAAGTTAACTAGGTGGGGGATGGTCTATATTGCCTAGCCTACATGTTAACTTTGGCCTTGTGGTCAGCCAGGCTTATAGCTGGGGTCATAGGCAAGAAAAAGAAACAAGAGTGTGGACAAGAGGAAGACATCCAGCAGTGTGTTTTTAAGTCATTTGTTTGATGAAGAATTCCTTTGGGATCTTGCTCTTGGTCTGGAACAATGGAATTAGGATGTCAGATGTGCCCAGTGCCCTGAGTTCCATCCCCTGGTCACCTAGACTCCATCTTGCTGAATGCTCAGAGACAACCCATCTGTTACCCATTTGATTCCCAGACCTCACCTGGAGCATAGTGAAGACTTCAGCAGCTCTGCCATAGTCCCACTTGTTGTCCTCAAGGCACCTGAGGTGAGAGAAGGACAGATGACCTCCAATACTACTGCAGGAAAGAAGCATTGGCTGCAAATGCCACCACATAACCTATGCTACTCATTATTCTGGGACATGTATGTGTCAGATTTAGCACCATAATAGTAGTGGGGAAAGACATGGTAGAATCTAGAAGAAACATAAGAATCAAAGCAGAAACATCAGAGTATTCCTATGAGCAGCGAAAAGTAATATCCATCCTGTACCTCTTTTTAAAGAGAAGCTTAAGAAAATAAGAAGTGGAAATTAAAAAGAAAATTCTCCCCCATAGTTTTAAAATTAAGATGTATGACAGATCTCAGGATGTTTACTATTTCAAGTGCACATCTCTCAGTCATTTTCTAGTATATTCACAAGACTCTCTGACAACCCCAACCAATTCCAAAACTGCTCTTTTGCTGCAAAAGAAAACTAACAGCTGGAGCTCAGTCCCTACTCTCCCATGTCACCCAGTGACTGGCAACTTCTACTGTGCTTTCAATTGCTACCAATTTTCCCATCCTAAATATTTTTAATAAATGATCTTAAACAAATAAAATGGTCTTAGGTGACAGGCTTCATTCACTTAGTCCAATTATTTCCAAGTTTCACCATGTCAGACCACATGTAGAGTCCGTGTTCACTTTTATGACTGAACAGTATCCTACTGTGATATATACTATGTTTATTTATTCATTCATCTTGGAGAAAACAGTTGAGATGTTTGCCAACACAACTATAAATAACAGTGCTATAAACATACAAGCTTTGGACTAAGTACTTTTTTGTTCTTTGTAGCTTATACTTCGTAGTGGGATGAGTAGGCCATGTGACAACTCCATGTTTAACATTTTGAGGAATGATATGACAGATCCCACCCCCACCCACACTCCCAATCTCACTCTCTTCCTCCTTGTCCCACTATTTTTATCTCTGTCTTCCTCTCTATCTCTGTCTGTCTGTCTCTCTCTCTCTCTCTCTCTCTTTCTCTCTCTGTGTGTGTCTGCGTATGTGATTTAGTAATCTAAGCATCTCTTAATCCAACAAAGGTAACACTCAAGATGAACCATGACATTCTCATTTATATTTCTCTAATGACTAAAAATGAAGAGAAAAAAATTACGTACTTGCTGACCACACCATATGTTCTTCAGAGAAACAAGTGTCTGTTCAAATCTGTTTCCCACTCTCAGTTGTGTTGTTTGCCTTTTTGCTGTTGTTTACTACGTGTTCTTCCTGTGTTCTTATCTGATATGTGCTCTGCATGTCTTTCTCTCCTTCTGTCACGTGTCTTTGCACTTCCCTGACAAGTGTAATGCACTAATTTGCAATAGAGTCCAATTTGTCAGCTTTTCATTAGCTGCTTGAGGTTTTCCTGTCACAGACACTACTTGGCTGACTAATTCAAGGCCATAAAGATTTATATCAATGTTTTGTTCTTTGGGCATTGTAGTTGGGATAACACTTATTTTTGGATCTCCAGTCTACGCATGGCCAGTGTTTGCACAGGGTATGTGGATGTGTGTAGGGAGTCAAAATTCCCTGTATTTGAAGTGAGCATCCAGTTCTCTCAGTACCCTATGTTCAAAAGATACTACTAGTCTCTGTGGAAATATGATAGTGGGACGATCTTGTTAATAAGTAACTAACTGGCCATCAGTGTGAGTGGTAATAATACTGTGAGTACCTAACAATCCTGTGGCACTGATGAAAGCACCACATAGTCTTACTCAATGTAGCGTTGCAGCTAGGTTTAAAACTTTTGACTTTGTTCTTTACATTCAGTGTCATTTGGGGCAATGCAGGTCCTACTGCATTTTCACATGGAGTTTAGGGTCTCCTTATCAACTGAAAACAGTTTAAATTTAAAGTTATTTTATGTACATATGGATGTTTTGCCTGTGTGCATACCTATGCATCATTAGCCTGCCAGTACCCACCAAAGCCATAAAAGGGTGTTGGATCCTTTGGAACTACAATGACAGTCATCTGTGAAAAACTGTGTTGCTGGTGGGAACTGAAGCCAGGTCCTCAGGAAAAGTACCCAGTGCCCTTAAGTACTGAGTCAAATCTTTAGACCCTCTCTTTCAATTCTTGCAAAGAAACCATTTGATACTTTGAGTAGAATTTCAAGGAAAGTGAAGATTCCTCTGGACAGCATTGGCATTGCCATATCTGTGAACATGGAAATTCCTTTCCCATTATTTGGGTCATCTTTAATTTTTTAAGACATATTTTTCAGATGTGAGAGTATGAGCTGCATGCATACATCAGGGGCTAGATGTGTGTGTGTGTGTGTGTGTGTGTGTGTGTGTGTGTGTGTGTGTTGGGGGATGAGCACACGCAGACACCTGTCCCCATGAGCACAATGGTGCATGTGTGGAGGTCACAGGGCCATCCATGTGCTGTGTGGTCCAGACACTTGTACAGGAAAGCAATTTTACACACTGCCACATTCTCTGCTCTCTTTAATTACATTTTTGCTGAAGTGTTTTTACTCGTTTGGTTGCTGTTCTAAATAGTCTTGCTTTTCTAAATTCACTCTTTGGCTATTTATGGCAAGTATACAGAAGTGTAATTGACTTCCATACATTAATCTTACATCCTGAACTGTGCTAAGCTTGCTTATTAGTTTTAGGAGTTTAATGTAATACATTCCTTTGGATTTTTCAAGTGGAATGTAATGCCATTTGAGACATGAACTATCTTTCAAACTTCTTTACCTACACTATTGCAAAATGATAATCTTTTTTTTTTCAGTGTGCCCCCACCTCATTTTTTAAAGGGAAGATGTAAAATATAAATAGTTTGTTTTTCACATGTTGTGTAGGATTCCATTATTCTTTTCCGACCCCAGCCCCACTCCAATCCTGCCCACATTTATAGCACAAACTTACTTCTGAGCCCATTCAAGTTTCATCCCCGACTGGGTGGAGAAAGCCTGCACCATTCTTTGCTGCTCTTGAGAAAGGACAAGCTTGACGCTGGAGCATGATGTGGGCGAAGGTGTGGCAAAGGCACCTTGGGTCTCCTCAGGGCTTGGATTCCTCACAAAAAGTTGGTCATTCACAATACAGAGGCTGGAGGAAAATCAGTCCCTGAGACAACTGGACGGGTAGACACTCCATTTACACCCCCGCTGCCCAGACAGGATCCTCTTTAACCCCTGATACTTACCAACTGGATTCCTCCTATGTGCCTGCTCAGTCTGCCTAGTGAAATTCTTTACTAGTACCCAGAGAACACTACCCCTACCTCCTTCGAGGGAGGGATTGTCTACCAGCTTCATTGGGTTTGGAGACTTAACCCCCATACATTTCGCCTACACAGAGGGAAAGAACCTTGTTACCCTCATTTCCATTTTTTTTTTTTTTGGATGAAAAATCAGAGTCTCCTGAAGAGATCAGTTAATTGGACCAAGGTGATGGTGACTGTTAGGGTCAGGAAGAAAGCTGGTATTCCAACTCTGGAGGCCCTCATCTTAACTGGTAAGCTACACTGCTCCTTGGATCCACCTCTTTCAAATTTCCACCCACAATACTGCACTCACTTTGAACTCTTGCCATGGATAGCAATGAAGATCCTCATGAAGGCACGAATACATTCCTTGGAGCTGTCCTCCACTTTGTGGACAAGAAAAATAAAGCATCCTTACTACAGTTACACACATTTTGCACCCTCACAAAACATTCCTCAGTCAGGGCCTTAGGCTGAAAGGGCCTAGGACCACTCAACTATTGGCTTGGAGTCATGGGTCTGTGGTGGAAATGGGAGGCAGGCGGGGGCAACAAGGAGAATAATCCACTCGTATTGATGGGTCTCCGGCCATATTCTGGACCCTGAGAAAAATAACTTCCAATGTTCACTTGGGCTCTGATTCACATCTGTCTGGGGTGGAGGGTAATCAGCACCATGGCATATGGGGAGATGCAGAGGCTAAGCAAGTGGCCCAAAGTCACAGAGTAAGGATCTGGAATGAGAGCCAACAAACCCTGCAGCCCATGTGCTCTCCCTGACAGAAGATAGATAGAAGCTGTGCAAGAGACAGGCACAGACCTCGGTGAGACTAGGATGGTCTGCAGGCAGGAGAGCACACGGGAAGGCACATAATGAGGGGAGCTGGGTGAATTCTCAGAGATGCACATCCAGGTCAGGAAGCAATAAGGTACCTGGAGAGGGGATTCTACAAGCACTCACCTTCCTTGAACAACCCACTAACAGAGAAGCAGAGTGTTGTTTCCTGAAAGGGAAGAAGGCGCAGACAAGCTTAGGGTCCTGCCTACTTTCTAACCTTGGAGAAACATGCCTCAGGGCAGAAGCTATTACTCACCATCTGGAAACAGATGTTCACTTGGAAAGAGCTGAAGGCATGCACGGTTTTGGGCAACGCCCTCAGATAGTCCACAATGTCTTGTTTTGTGTACTTCAGCAGCTGCCTCTGAACGTCTACTGAGGAGTGAAAAAAAACAAAGTCTATTACGCTCTGTGATAACCTCCTTCACACCCGAGTTCTACCAGGTCTACCCTGGACTCTACCAGGTCTTCCTCAGCACACACTTACGGAGCTCCTTGGAATTCTTCATATCCTTTTCATCCTTGAAGTACCCACACATGCTATTCCTAGAAGAAAAGAGTTCTAGGGGAGGGGCCCAGCCAGCGCAGATGCTTCCTGGGAGTCAGTTCTGTCTACTTGGTGCTGGGAGTGGGAGGTGGATTCACACTGCTCCAGAACAGAGCATGAAGTGTGATACTCACAGATCTGGATCACTGGGGTTGAAGGGAATGGTCAGGGAGAAGCAGGCCTGGTCATGATAAATGTTCAGGAGATCCTGTCGCTCTTCAGAGTCGTAGATCAAGTAATACCTATGGAGTGTGAAAGTGTGTAGAAGGAGCTATTTCAGTGGTCTGGACCCCAGAAGTGACCTAAAAAGGCCTCTGAGACAATCTGTACTAAGGTGGCCCAACGACTTCCCTTCCTCAAGGTTCCATGCACACTTACTCTTGCAGGAATTGCTCTACTTGATTCTTGATCACCTCAGAACCCTTAAAGATGTCCTAGAATACAAAGCCATTTTAGACAATGCATCTACTAAAAGGTTCACAAGCAACAGCATAAATCTCTCTTGGTCCTTCTTCCCCACCTTGCAGGGCTTCGTTAACTGGTGTTCTCCACTGTCCATTACAGTTGGGGGTGATAATTTCCTGCCATCCTGAGGAGAAGAAGAGGAGGAGTCTGGAATGCATGCCAGGGAAGTATCCCTGTATACCGGTGGAGATGAAGAGACCCAAGGGGGTAACCCTGAGTCAGAGACCAGGTGTAAAGTGGCTAGAAAATTCCCTGGGCTATGAGATTATAGTGGGTGTCTGAATTATGGGGTACAGTAAACATATATGTAAAACATATATGGTTTTGTTTCTGTGTGTGGGTCTATGTGGGTCATGTGGTTTGTTTGTGTGTATAATTATGGAACAACATTCAGGTTATTTTTTTTCCTTTAGAATCCATGTCGTTGCAAATGAACAGCTATCTCAGGCATACACATTATCTAGGCAAGATACAAATGGGCTGGGATTAAGTGTGGAGTTTAATCATGTGAGGAAGAAGAAACAGTGATGACGGCAGTAACATACCAGGCATGACAACTCTGGAAAACAATCCAGGACTGCACTGTTCAAAAACAAAAGCCACAGAAATGATTGACAATTCAGATTTGGCCAGTATTTCACTCGTGCTCCTATTCCACCATTGGTTTTCCCTCCCGTTCTCTTTCAGCCCAGTCCTCACTGCCAGACCCCTGGATAGCTTCTACCTACATCACACTGGCCCCCTCTCCAGGGTCACAAGAAACCACATTGAGAGGCCAGCCTCCAGGGCTTCCCCCACTCCCTGTCTCCTTCCTCTTTCTCAGTCTCCACAGAAGGTCCTGTCGCTTTGAAAGGTGTGCAGGATTCTTCGAGATGCTGAGATGAAGGTGGGGGAGTCAGGAATCAGGATGGAGAAAGGAGACGGCAGTAGGGTGGTAGATAGTGACAGAAAGGGAGTGAAGGAGCAAGGGAGATTTATGAGAGACCAGGGAGAAGAGGAAAGGACACAGAGGACGCAATGCAAAGGGAATGAGAAGGTGCTCTGTCTGGTGTGGTGGAGTGGGATACCACGGGAGAAAGGGGATCACCTACTGCTGTGCTTTCCTTCACATGTGCCTGGCTAGCCCAGGGACCCAAAGCAGCAATTAAAACATGCAAGCTACTGAGGCTGCCATGAAGACCCATAGTACTCTCTGAGTGAGCTGGGGACTAAGAGCTTCGCTGTAGGCAAGAACCATTTTCTAGAAGCTGAAGAAGTGATAGGTGAGTGTCCAAATCAGCATGCGATGGCTGGGCTATGGGCTTCTCCAAAGAATCAAGTTGCTTGTTTCAGGCTACCCAAGGCTCCTCTGATATGCTAGGTAGGATGACGAGCAAAGAAGGTTGGTCCATAGGTAGGTAGAGAAGGAAGGAGGGATGGAGGCTTCTAGAAAGCCAGGGGCTTCTTTCTCTTCAACCTCTTCTGCCTTCTCCCTTCCCCTCCTGTTCCAGGAAGCCTTCAGCTTCCCAGTTATGGCCCACTCCTGGATCTCTGATCTAGAAAGCAGAGGACCTCCGATCCAAAGGAAGACAGAGATCCCAGCAGTAGTCTAGGGGACATGATATCCACGTCAGCATCACCCAGGACCTCAGCCCTCTGCTGTGGCAGGACAACCTCTAGAGCATCCTGGGGTAGATGAGGGGACCATTCAGGAACAAGATCGGAAGGAAGGCTCCTTGTAGGACTGGGAAGGAGGCCTGGTGCTGTTGTGAGATGCTCAGGAGGGCCTTCTGGAGGAGGCTGAAAACTCACACAAGTGAAACACAACCCATGCTAGATGAGGTGGGGCAGACAGGACAGTCGCAAAGGAAGCCCATGACCAAAACCCAGGGTACAGAGACAGGGGAGAGAGCAGGCCCTGTGGTCCTCCCAGAAGACCAGGGCTGCCTCCTCCCACAGAGAGTCTCTCAGGCCACCAGGGGACTATGGTATCCATGAGGGGAAGGAGGTGTTAGCAGGTGTGTACCTTACATAGGAAGAATAGTCTCGGAAAGTGCTGCACAAGGGATTCCCTTCTAGCCATAGCTGTTCTAGCTTCAGCCCTTTCATCTTCTCCAACTCCCATGCTGTTCTTAGCTGAGAAAAATGGGAGAGAAACGGTAAAGGTGTTCTGGGCAAAGACAGAAGTTCAGAACCCATATCTCCCTGCTGCTACTTGAGGTTCGATTTGCCTGTCTAATGCTGTCAAGTACCATATAATGCACTACTATCCATCCTTAACCCCAATCTATTCTTCTCACCATGTTTTTGGAGAGGTTCAGGATCTTGAGTTGAGGTGCCATCTTTACCACATCAAACAGGCTATCTAACTGGAACAGTTTGTTGCTGCTCAAGTTCAAGGATAACAGCTTTGGGGAGCAAAAGTTAGAGTGATCTTTACTGTTGACAGCCTTGAAGACATACTTGCCCCGCACCCCATCCTTTCTAGCCCTCCACACAAACATCAATCAATACCTCAGGAAAATCCTCTTGGATGATCTGAAGGGTGGCAGCCATGCAGCTTCTTCGATTCAGAATCATGTCTATGTTGTGATTCACCAAGTCTTCGGGAAGAGGAGAGAAAGGAATTAGAAGGTAGAGAGGAGTCTGTCTGAACCATCCTCAGCACAGTCCCCTGTCCTCATCTATACCACATAACTTCTTCCTAGGGTGATCTGTGATCCACAAATAGCTCTGTCAGCCATACCTGGGTCAAAGCGAAGCTTTTTGAGGCACAGAGCATGCTGGGAAACATCATATCTTTTCCTCATGGTCAGCTGCAGAGACACAGATGGAAAGGGTGGCTCTGTGGTGTTGTGAGTTGTGGTTTTTGGAACATCATGGACTTGGGGGGGAGGGTAGGGAAGACTTGGGTCTGGGAAGTGAACACACACAACACCTTCAGACTGCTTTACCTTCAGCTGCTCCATTTGTTCTCTTGTGAGCTTATTCTGCACAGAGTAGGGTGCAACTGAGGTATTGACAAAAATAGGTATCTGTGGGGAGGAGAGACATAGTGAACACCAGGAACTCTAATCCCAAAGATAATGCTCCCATTCCATAGCATGTGTCAGGGCTAGGTACAGAGAAGACTTCCAGCACACACCTTCTGAAAGTCCTCACTACATATCTTGTAGCTGATATCCTTCAATGCAGAGGCAATGCTAGCATCCTGGACAAAGAACTGGATCCGGTGTTTGTCACAATGGAACTACACAGAGGGGAGAGCAGAAGTGAAAGTGTCAGAGGCCACTGACCCCTCCTGAGCCTGGCCTCCCAGTCAATCCTCCAAACCATCCAAGCCGGCTTCACCATCCTCTCTTACATCCACTGGTGTGAAGGGCACGCTGCAAAGGCTGTGAACTGAATTCATTAGATGTGTCTTGTCATACTTTCTCCCACATGGAATCTAAATTTACAAGTAAGGAACAGGAGAGAAGAGAGACACCATGGAACCTTGGAGGACAGCAGACATACTCTGAATCTTCTTTCCTGACCTTCTACAAAGAACTTCCACATGACCTCTGACAGGATTCCTTGTTTTGTGCCAAACACAGATCTAGATCCACGAGCTCTCCACACAGTAAGTCTTCTCCCTCCAGGTAACTGACTTCTCTTACTCACTGTGATCTTCCTTCTCTTGGATTTCAGAAAAGTCTAATGTAAATGTCACCAAGACACTCACCGTGATCTTGAACCAGCTCCCCAGTGTTTCATCTTCTGGGCACTGCCCTACTTCTCTCTTATGAAATTTGTCGTCTCTCCACACTGTGACATGGATTTGGTCCTCTGCATGCTCTTCCTCCCTACTCTTACGTCGCCCAGCATAAGGTTTGCTACAAAAGGGAGAGGAAGTGTCAGTAAATGCTAAGAAACTCTTGTATGCATCCACCCTCCTACCACTAGTAACACAGATACAGTTATGATTTATCAGCCTCCATTCCACATCTATAGAGCAACAGATCTCCAGTTTCCCAGTGACAGGAGACAACAAGGGAAGAGGAGGTGAAGGAATTGCCCAGTCCCAGGGACTGTTAGCTACTATACTAACTAGGCTGCCTGGTAACTTACTGTCTTACTGATGGGTTCCAGAGAACAGCTCTCGTCTCCAGATTTCCACCATCACCGCGGGCTCTTGAAGGCAGAATCGCACGCCCACTATGCTCATAATGAGCAGTCCTCCTGCCAGTATAGTCCAGGGGAGAGCCCCTGTCTTTCCTTCTTCCTAGAATAACACAGTTTTTACCATAATATTATGAAATTGGAAACAATGCAAGTTTGGAAGACAAAATCAGTGATCTATCTGCCACATACGACATCAGTGGGAAGGAGACACCATGAGGGGGTTATTAAAATCCCAGTTTACCCCCCCTCAAAGGAACAATCTCGAAAACCCAGTGGGCAAACCCCTGGCACAGTCACAGAACACAGCTTACAAGAAGGGGCCATTTTGGCCCTTTTAAACACAGTAGAGTAGGATTTGTGATATATTTGGCCCATGGTGTAGACCAAACACAAAGCTCGTACTAGGAGACTGACCTGGCCTGGCCTTGTCCTGGGATTATCTAATTTAGCAGCCACACAATGGCTGGGAGTCCTACTCTCCCCATCTCACTGCAACATCCAATCATTTATTGAACTGACGGCTACAGTTGACAAACTGTAAAACTTCCTTGTTGCTGATATCCAAGCTTTACTGGCAGTGGAGACTAAGACAGTAGCCCGGTAACCTGTCACCAAATTACCTGATTATCTTCCACAACGCTCGCGTTTGAGCTATTCAAATCACATGTCTTCTCTGTCTGGCCTACAATACTTTCAAGTACAGAGGACTAACCTTCCTAAACCCCACACTTTCATTACAAAGATCTGAAACAAAAACCGGAGTGGTGAGTGTCAGACACAATTTCCAATTGTACTGTGATTTGGCTGTAGTGATTCCTGGTCTGAGTTCATTACAAGTCACAGAAATTACTGTTTGGGATTGCACATCTGCTAAGTGTCAAGGCCTGCTCCACAAGCTTGAAATTCTCTGTGTTCACAATTGCTTCCAGGCAACTGAGAGTTAAGCCAGTGTATGCTTGTTCTTTGGTGAGGCATTCTGTTTATACCATTTAGATCATGCAATACAGGAAGCATTGCGAGCATAGAGAATCTTCAAGCTTGTGGGCAGTTTGTTGGGCAATGCAGCCCTAGTTATGTTGGTGAAGGTGTCTGTAGTATATGCCTATACCTATTCACATCCTGGAGTTGTTTCCCCACCCCATCCCCCTCTCCAATTTAAACCCTCCCACAAAGCTTTCCTGCTGAACATCTGATTTGGCAGTGGGTGGCAGACTTGAAATGCTTTCTGTTTTCTGTTTGTTTGCCATCGTATTCTATCTTTTGAAATAAAAATAGCCTCCTGTCTGTCCCCCTTGGGTACTCTCAACAACGGCATTTTGTACTGTCAATCAGCATGTGCTAGCAGCAAGTGATGTTGGTGTATTTGCCGTGGGGTGGATATGAATGCTAGGAGAGACCAACCTTTTCACACATCTCAGTGTGAAAGGTTCTCTAGGTTTGTAAGTTGTAGATTGTGTTCTGCCATTATTCCACTTTGCCTCAAAACAGGTGTATGGATAAAAATTAGCTAACTGAGAGTCCACTCATAACAAACTGATGATGAGTACAGCCCAGATGAACACTACTGGAGACTCCAGGGCTTCCATCACGTGACCCACTATCAGGAGCTTTCTGTCACACACTACAATGCTTTCCCTGTGCCAGCACTGGCACTGGAAATGAATCAAAAGGTGAATAGACTCTTTGGGGTAGGCCTTCAGATCAATGGGCCTGCTGTTTTTGTTCCACAGGCTACATCTAACTGCTAAGGAAATTCTCCTGGATCTGCCTTCAAAATCCCACCACAGCCTAACTCGTCTCACCTTTGCCCTTGCCAGGTCTCCAAAAGAGTATCCTGCATTACTCCAAAGCTACTTTTGTTTGTTTTCTTTTTCCAGGCTCACCCAGACACTGTCTTCCACACAACAGGAAGAGTGTTTTCGTTTTGTAAGGCAAGTGTCAAATCTTGCCTATCCCACTGGTCAAAGTTCTGCAACTAGATTGCAGCCCATCTGTTAAAGACCTGTGAGTCCATGATATCCAACCAAAACAAAGCAAAATAAAAAATAGCAACTAAAGACAACGTTATAGGTGGCATTAGGTAAATGTTATCAAACCAAATCATTTTCTTAAAAGTTCAAAAAGCAAAGGAAAACATCAGGTTTTTAAGTTGGAGATGAGGCAGGGACAGGAGACCGCTCAGTAGAGACAAAAGGCAGTCTGTCATATTCCTGGGAGCCTGAAACTATGTATCTCACCTGTGACTCCAGAAAGACTTGAGAACCGTAGTGGACTGAAGTAAACAGCAGACAGTGAGAAACCCAATAAAAGTCCAGAAGTTCTAGATGCATGGTGTCCATGTATGGAATAGGACGATTCTGAACCATTGTGTGGAACTCAAGATTACTTCCAAAACACTTCTACCATGGAATGGGATAAATTTGAGCTGCCTAATGACCACAGTTCCTTATCCCATCTTCTGCAAGGCCCTCTAATGGTGAATCACAGAATACAGAGCACGTAAATCGAACAGCTGCAGAGACACTCTACGGAAAGGGACACTGAGGACAAAGTACACATTGGTGCCCATCCACTTATGGAATGCCCTGGTACCCTACACCTGGCTAGTGTTGATGCCACCAGAGTCAAAAGTGATAGTAATAGTATTTTAAAAAGCAGTTATGTGCCAGAGACAGTCCAATCGTTAGGAGCACTTGCTTCTTTTGCAGAGGACTTGGGCTCAGTTCCCAGCACTCATATCAGTAAACGGCAGCTCCAGGGATTCTGACACCGTCTTTTGCCTCTAATGACACCTGCAAGCACGTGGTACACACAGAGACAAACAGGCAGGCAGGCAGTCATACATGGGTATGCATCAATAAAAATGAATGAATGGAAATTTTAAAATATTTGATAAATTGATTTACTTATTCTCGGGCTTTGCCAGGATTTAATTGTTCTTCCAACACCAAAAGAGCAATGAACCTCTTTCAGGATGCCATGAGTGTTCCTCAGTCCCTGCTTGTTCTAAATTCTGAATTCTGTCTCCAGTACTGCCCAGTCTGCTGATGACAGGCAGCTCTGCTACAGTAGGGTAAGAATACAGAGATAGGCAGACCAACATTTGAGCCACAGCAACAACCCCTTGGTATAGGGCACAATGAAGACTTTTCACCTCCTCATGAAAGTCTCATGAGAATTGCACCCAGTGTTGTCTCAAACCTGAGACAGAATTGAAGTGCTTATTTAACATATCAAAGCAGACATTGGCTACCAGGTTCTCCCAGCATTCCTCAGTCCCTACGTGCTACAGTACCCTCCTGGCTAGAATACCCTACCCCCTACCCCAAAGTTCTCCAGCTCAGGCTCTGGGATGTCCTCTTCCCAGTTGCCATTCCTTATATAAGTCAGTCACTTTGGTTATCCGCCCTCTTTTGGTCTACACTTTACCTTCCTGGACTCTTGATCTGGCTCTCTGGTACCCCCTGCCCTTCCTTCAGAGGCTCAAGATAATGTGCACTCTGGACTCTCCCAGATGTCCCTGCCCCTGGTTATGTTCTCCCTTTTATTTACCATAAACATTCTCCTCCACCATACCTAGGAGCAGTCATGTCCTTCCTCCTTTATTTCTTTTATTCATTCACCCAGGAATCCCTTTTGCATCATGCATATTCAGCTCAAGGATGCTGGGTGATTGTCCTAGAATGTTTCATCCTCCAACGTGGTAGAATCAGAGTTTTATATGCCTCCGATTATTCTACCTCACTGGTCACCTCCCATCAAGTGCTCTTGTATTGACTGAACCCTTTCTCTACTGAGGGTAAATGTTCTCATTTCCTGGACATACTTTCTGCAGCAGAGAGAGATGAGGCTTTGTGCTAGTCACACCTGTACATGAGAACTGGGTGTCTGAGCCTTGGATAAGCGGGAGTACTCTTGAACCCTAAGGTGCATGTATGAATATATGGATTCTGATACATATGATGCCCTTGTACAGAACACTAAGCTTAGTACACTAAGGTAATCACTACTTTAAGCAGCCAGCTTCCTATGAGTCACCGTTGTCTTTCTAACTTTAAAGATAACTGCTATTTCACTATCAAGGGTCACACATGGTTGCAGAGGAGTTAATCTCAAAGCCAGGAATCTATTTGCTTTTCTATTTGCAGAGACTACTGTTATGTCTGTAAGCTGAATCCTAGACACTTTGTATTGCTAGTCTTTTTTCCTGGCTTGTCGATGACAACCACTCTTTTCTCCTCCTCTTCTTCAGGTTTTGTGTCCTGAGTGTGCTTGACTGTTTGATCATGCCTTTGCCAGTCTGCATTCTTTATGTACTTTAGTACTTCAATTACTCTCATCCTCAGCCAAGAATCGAGATTAACTGTCAAGAGACTTAGAGGGTTTAGTTTATAACTGTTCTGGAAAGACATTTGGCCCCTTGATATATTAGTCCAGTAAACATGTTCAAATAATCAGTATGTATCTTCTCATACAACCTCATATTTTCAACCTTTTCAATGAGTGAGTTAATGACAAACAGAAAAATTACAGTTATTATACATATATCCCACTGTCCTTAGTAAACACCAGACATGAATCAAATGGGTAGAGGAATAGATTTATGCCATCTCAAAATATGTTCAGAAAACATTAGTACACCAGGGACTCCTTGAAAAGAAATCCATTGCCAGTGAATGGGGGAGACCTGAGAGCTACATTTTGCTGTGAGCATACTAAGCACAGACATAGCAGTGTAGAGGTGTCTTTACCTGAGTATCTGAAGGGCCCGTAATTCTTTTCATTAGAGCTCATCTTTCTTGTCTCTTGGCCTTTGTAGTCTTCTGACCACGCCTAGAAATAGAGAAGTAGGAGGAAAATAGATTACTTAAATTCTGTCATACAAGATGCCACTTCAGTCTCCTGGAAAGTACGTTTCTCATCCCCAGGAAGGAAAGCACCGTGTTGCTCCTTACTTAGCTTTACTCATTTACTGTCACCTTCACAATGGCCTGAAGGCATCCCTTAAGATTTGGGACTTCAATGGGAGAAAATGTATGTACTCCTGCTGCTACTGGATGTCCCAGGCTGGTTGTGGTACCCAAGGGGGACTTCCCCTTCTCAGAGGAGAAAGCAAGGGAGTAATGGGAGGAGGAGAGATTTGTGAGGGTGGGGCTGAGAGGAGAGAGGAGTGAGGGGGCTGCGATTAAGGATGTAAAGTGAATAGCATGTTCTTTGTGACTCAGGAAAAGGGAGGCTGCAACAAGGAATCTAAGGAACAAAACTTAGTATAGAAGATGGAAATCTCAGTGTGTTTCTGACCTCAGGAGAGCTTGAACATACGAGAGTGGATGTCCTTCTGCCAACTGCCCCCCCTGAAGCCTGAAGAATTTCAAGTTAAGGAATTCAGAGTATCTACTTTGTTCCTAGGTTGACAAGTTTGTTGAAACCTCAAACTTCACAAAAGTCCCCTCTCTCCTTTGCCTGCTTTCCCTCGTCTGATCATTTCCTGCTTCCTGATAGCTGCCCATTCCAGAGGAAGTGCTGGAGAAGAAAAGTTGTCAGAGCACAGCAGCAAACCGAGTGGCTTCAGGGAAATGAAGAAGGCATTCAGAAATCAACTCTGTGAGAACTGGCTAATAGCAAGGCTCTGATATCCTTGAAAGAAACAGGCCCGATAAGAAATGGCCCAGATGACTAAGAGAGGAGGGAGGGGCGTGATCTTGCTATGGAACAGAAAGAAAAATCTAGCAGGGCGATGACAACAGGCAGGTTGACCAGGAAGGGGAGGGTGGTCCTTACTCTCATTTAAGAGTCATGTCCTGCAGAGAGGAATGTCAGTCGTTAAACCCTCCTGGTTGCTGCTCATTCTTAATCCCCCTGTCCAGCTCCACCTATTTGCCCTTGTTGCACCTCTTATGAGTCCAAGATCAGATGAAGACTTCCCAAACCCCTTGTTCTGGGTCAGGCTTTTCAATGTTTGTCCACCACCAGAAAGTCCTCTGACACCTCTATGAAAAGCCCTCTCCTCACACTCCCTGTTCTATACAGCAGCTACTTGGTGACACCTTAAAGCCGCCACCCCACCCCCCTGCCGCTGTGCCCTGAGTAAAATCCCAGAGAGCAGCTGGTGGGCCTCCTACCAGAAAAGTGGTCTTGGACAGTCAGCAGGCAGTACCTTAATGCTTCCTGGAAAAGTAGGGAGTCTGAGCCAGAGTCTGATCAAGCTCTGTCCTTAGTGAGAACAAGGAAAACTCCGAAGGCCTTCCGTGGGTGGAGGCTCTGTGAGGCTCACAGCAAACACAGAAAGGGCCTAGCTTGATTCTTGATGTTGAGAGGAAGAGAGCAGTCACATGACTGTCTGAACCAAGCGGGCAGGCTTTGTGAGGGGTTCTGGCATCACTAGACTACTTCTGAGGACTTAGGGGAGGAGTTGCGGCCTGCACCCACACGTGCATTTTAGCACGTGACCGCAAGAACAGCAGTAACTGAGTAACAAATGTAGTCCGGTGATTGCAAGGCTTTTGCCTCAAGAAGTACGGAAGTACAAAAATCCAAGAACTCCTAATCTTCTGACAAAGGTGGCTGATAAAGTTGGGGAGTTGGGGAGTTGGAGAAGAGTTGCCTTGCAGAGGCGGAAGTAGGGGCGGGGTTGGGGAACAGACCCTGGATTCCATCAAAAGAACTGCAAATTAAAAAAAAAAAACCTTAAGCCCGACAACAGTGGTAGAAACCTGTAATCCTAGCACTAAGGCAGAGGCAGGCAGATCTCTGTGAGTTCCAGGCCAGCCTGGTCAACAAAACTAGTTCCAAGACAGCCAAGGCTACTTAAAGATACCATGTCTCAAAAAATTAAATTAAATTAAATTAAATTAAATTAAATTAAATTAAAACCAAACAATAAGATTAAGCATTAAAAATAGAAGAACTTAACAAATTTAAGATATGCATGTTACCAACAGAGACCATAGGCCTCAGTCAGCCACATAATTTTCTTTTCTCCATGATGGCAACATCCCTATGTACAACCATAAGATTTCATACTATCCGGATGTCTGGGAAGGGCTATATCAGCTCCTTGGCAGAATCTTCCAGTTTTGCCCACCAAACCTAGGAAAACAGCACTTACAAAATTATAGCCAGGGACCGAGGTCTAAGCCAACATTTCTTTAGATGATGCACACCTTCAAGGTCATAGGATGTCAATGGGTGTTCTGATCCATTACTAATTTATTCTCTTGACTTAAGGTCACTCACTGAAACTAAAGCCTAGCTGAAATCCAGAAGAATCCAAGACATCCCTCTGTATCTGACCTCTGACCTGCCCAGAGCTGGGATTTCAAGCCTGTGTGCGGCCACACCTAGCTTTCATCATGGCTTCTATTGATTCAAGCTCAGGTCCCCATGTTTTAGTAGCAAATGTTCTTACCCACTGAGCCACATTCCCTGTTTTGGGACCTATTCCTGAAGATGTTCTGGGACCTATTCCTGAAGAAGGGAGGAAACAGTAATAGAAACCATCACACAGAAGCATGACGCAGCCAGAGAGCTCTGCATTGGGTTGACGGCCTTCTGAGGGCTTTGGGTCACAGCAGCAGTTTGCCTGTTCCAGCAAAACTTGGGTTTCTGTAGAATTCTGTAGCATTAAATTCCTAAGATGTGGTCAAGTGAGCAGAGTGTAAAACTTAACCCCTAACTGAGAATCAGACCATATCCAAAATCGGGACAACTGTAGCAGATGAAAGTTCCCTTTTCCCCTCCATACTGGCTAAGTTCTGAACATAGAGCCCCTGGGAGGGACAGTGGAGTCTAGAGCTAGGGGGCATTCAATGAAGACTTTGGTTCAGGCAAACACCTAGGTAAGAAATAGTCAGTGACTGGGAAGTACAGACTGCTTGAAAGCTTTGGAGTACAAGGCTTTTCCATCAGACGGCCCTGGTTATCACATAAACAGTATCTACTTAACTTATCAGCCTTGTGTGAGCTGTGCAGGGTTGAAGTGGTTGGGAAATCTGATGCTTTTGCAGGACTGACTCTGAGTCAACTCCGTTGCTCTCTCTACTGGAGCACAGACTGCTGAGTCATGTATCTTTTTACAGAGATGCCAGAGATGCTGAGGGGCAGAAAAATCCCTCTGCTAAGGCCAAGCTCTTTCCCGTTTGCTTGTCTACCTACATTCCATGTGGTTTCTGTGACCATCTAAATGCCAGGCAGTCCAAAGCGGGTGACGTTTTATTCGTAGTTCCAAATGGACTGGCTCAGGAGCCCACAGGTTACTGTCCGTATTAGTCAGGGCTCTCTAGAGTCACAGAACTCATGGATAATCCCTATACAGTAAGAGAATTTGTTGTTGACTTACAGTCTGTAGTCCAACTCCCCAACAATGGTCAGCAGCAGCTGTGAACGGAAGTCCCAGGATCCAGCAGTTCCTCAGTCCCACAAGGCAAGCAGGCGAAGAAGAGTGAGCCTTCCTTCTTCCAGTGTCCTTATGTAGGTCTCCAGCAGTAGGTGTGGCCTAGACTAAATGGGTGTACCATCACGCATGGATCTGGAACTTACTTTGTCCCAGATGATTTTGAACTCTTGCCTTAGTCTCCTGGGAGTCATAGCCACTATGCCTCAAGATCTCCAGGCCAAGGTCCAGGTCAGAAACTTGTATTTCCCAGTCTCAAGATCTGGATCACAGGTGAGCCTTCCAATTCTGGTTTGCATTTCATTCCATATATAGTCAAGTTGACAACCAGGAAGAGCCACTACACTGTCACTCAAAGGCCTTTAGCTCATGCTTCTGTAGATCCTGTGAATATCTACTTCACTATGAGACACCAAAGTCTGACACAAAATCAATCTCAGAGAAAAGCTGTCCTACTGATTAGGTGACTGGGGACAGAGGCCCTTTATCTACTCTAGGTCCATCACAATAGAGTCCCTGTCCTCATATCTTAGGGATTCTCCCAGAAAGGTCCTGTTCTCTGTCTGTGATCCCAACCCCACAGTCACAATATCTTTTCTTCCTGTTTCTTTACAAAACAGTAACAACTCATTTGTATTGAGGTGACTCCTAATTCCAAGGGGGTGGGGGAAGGCTAGAGGCATGCCATATGAGCAGAGAAGCACTGGGAGGATTGACGTTCCTTGGAGCAATCCCATTCCCACTCCCACCCCCAGGGCTGCACTTTAACCTAATTTTCTTAGACTCTGCATCCTCATAGGATCACTAGGTCAGCTTCTCAGAGCCAGAAGGGTCTGAAAGACCACTGGATCTTTCAGATAAGAGCATTCTCTAAGTCCCCTCTTCCTGTCTTAACCTGTTCCTCCAGTCTCAGCTACTGCCTGCTCCTTTAGCCCCTCAGTGCACTGCCTGAGCTCTCTCCTGAAAAATTGTTCAATCCAAAGGACAGCTTGTATACTTTCCATCTTTGGGGTACACCAAGATTATACCACACCCACCCCAAGGGGCAGTGATACAGCATAAAGGAGGCTCCACGGGTCATGTCCCTGGTGCAGTTTGGCTTTGTCAGCTGACTAGAAAGTTTCTTTCATGTCCTGTCCAGTTGGATCTTCCCAGCTTGGATCATGTAGGAATAAAATGGGGTACATGGCTGACTATTCCCCATCCCACTGCTACCTTGATCACAGGCTCTGTGTGGATAAGGACTGAAGGATAAGGACAAGCACTGGAGCAGAGGTAGTGAGGGCAGCAGGAGCCATATCCCCATATCCTGCTGCTGCTTGACATTGTCAGCCAGTGTGTTTTCCTAAATATAGCTCTGCAATAGAAGCCTCCCTAGCAGAGACAAGAAGCGGAGGAAGGG